ACGATCCTTCGCAGTAAAGCACTATTTGAGCAATAGTGAAAATCAGACCTGAAAAAAATTTCAGGCCTGTACGGGATTCGAACCACTGACCTCTGCGATACTAGTGCAGCGCTCTACCAATTGAGCTAACAAGCCAACTGGGAGCAGGCCATCAAATTAATTCGACATAAACCCGTAGATGATAAATCAAACAACAAACATATGAAATACATATATATGAACTGCGGTTATGAAACGTATATGTGCACGATCCTTCGCAGTAAAGCACTATTTAAGCAATAGTGAAAATCAGACCTGAAAAAAATTCAGGCCTGTACGGGATTCGAACCACTGACCTCTGCGATACTAGTGCAGCGCTCTACCAATTGAGCTAACAAGCCAACTGGGAGCAGGCCATCAAATTAATTCGACATAAACCCGTAGATGATAAATCAAACAACAAACATATGAAATACATATATATGAACTGCGGTTATGAAACGTATATGTGCACGATCCTTCGCAGTAAAGCACTATTTAAGCAATAGTGAAAATCAGACCTGAAAAAAATTCAGGCCTGTACGGGATTCGAACCACTGACCTCTGCGATACTAGTGCAGCGCTCTACCAATTGAGCTAACAAGCCAACTGGGAGCAGGCCATCAAATTAATTCGACATAAACCCGTAGATGATGGAGGGTTTATGTCATCTACGGGTTTATGTCGAGGTAAAGCTGATAAATGTTTATACGTTATCAGATGCCTCCGCAAAGAAGGATGTAGCCAAGCAGAAGTCGATGTTTTATTTAATTCCATTGTCCTACCTAATATTACTTATGCTCTATCTGTGTATGGGGCCTCTGAGTCAGAGCTAACTATAGCCCAGCAGTTTTCAAATCGTTGTTTTAAACGTAGTTACATATCTAAGAAATTAGTGATAGGTGACTTACTTAATGTGCAAAATCACAAAATTTGTAGCGAGGTTTCTACTATCCTTAGCCACCCTCTTAGAGCCTACTTCCCTGAAACCAAGATTACGAGATATAAGTTAAGAAATAAATCCTCTGTAATGCCCGCCATTCGCACGAACCGTTTTAAGAATACATTTTTTAATAGAATTGTTTTTAAGTAGCTTTGTAAAAGTGTACTTTTTGTATTCGATTTTCGTATTTGTTTTTACGTATATACTTATCTTATTTAGAGATACACCTAAGCTTACTTACATCCTTTTTAATGTAACATAAGATGTGCAATTTTATCTTTTGAACAATAAAGACAATATTATTAGACACTATTATTTTAACCATCGCTTTAGCTGCTCCACGGTATACTTCTCCGGGCCGCTTTCGAACTTTGATCCCGGTACACCGTCATTTTCTGTCAAAATCGCCAAATTTAGAAGGCTAAATGTCGAAGAAACTAAAGAAACACTCGTATCTACAGCCATTCCACCAGTTTGTTTGTCTGAGTCTCGCGGGGGGTCTAATTTTACTGACGTCACTCCCGCGCAGCGCTATTTAGGACTTTTTCTCCTTTGTTAATCAATTTTCTATGACCAGAGGTTGACTCATCTACATACCAAAACTGCAGTACGTAAAGGCGATGGTTGACAAAGACGAGTGTTTATCATAAGCCAATAGGATCTTCTGGCGGATCCCAGCAAAGCTGAATACCACGAACTCGGAAAGGTCGCTCGGGAGGTTATGACAACCTGATGTAAGTAACATTTTTAACGAAATACCTTTATTCGATAACTTGCCTGCGTTTCAGGATTTGAAAATTATT